TCACAACAGTTTCTCTAAAGGCATTTAATAGTCGAGACTGAAAAAGACGTGTCCTGGAGTTGTTCAACTACAGCAAATTTTGCTGCAAATGTAAATGATTCTATTAACAACTTACAGCTGATCTCACCCATCCCCTGCATTGTTATGCTACAGAAACAAGCATTAATGAAAGTACTATTACAAGTTTTCAAAGGTTTTTTGTTTTAGCAGTTGGACATTCTTTATATCCCAACCACATAAACACTGGTATTGATGAGCAGCAAAAGCATTCAGGTTATCCTACAGTCATGGAAATACGCTATGATTAATCTGAAATACGTATCTCAAAAAATTCACAAATTCCCACTGCATTCTCCTCTTTTCTTAAAGGGTAAAATATTTTAACCAATATAGAAAGAACCAAACCAAGCCACAACCACAAAACCTAAAGAAATTCAATACAGTAGCCCTGCACAGGCTGCAAGAACTGAGAAAGAAATTGGCCTGCAGGCAAGAATGTAGGCAGCAGTTACTGTAGAAACCAAGCTCTTCGTTGCTTTTCTCTAAGCAAAAGAAAGACACAAAAGAGCTGGAAAACAGCGATCGATGGGAAGCAGCTTATAAAGCTGCTTGTCACATCTGCTGCAGGAAAACCAGACACTAATTCATTAAAACTGCTCATGTAATGCCTCTGGAATTTGAGGCTCCCCAGCCTGTGAATACAAAAGAAACTCCGCCTATGGAAACACTGCATTTTCGGGTATTTAGCATCTCTGTACACAAAAGCCGTATGCAGAGTCAGGTTGTGTGGTCTCTATCCCTAGATTTCGATTTAAATTATAAAAACAAACTAAGAAGTGTCCAAAAGTCTGTGTGCCTCTATCTTTGCCAAATTTCAAATAGCTATTTTGATTCCCAACAGAGCATACATAACTTTATAATACAATAGTTTCCTGTTTAAAAAACAGAAATTAAATGCTTGCAGCAGAGAAGTAAATATCAATCATGTCTTCTTCCTTCCAGATAACTGCATTTAAGAATGGTTTCCTACGATCAAATATGCAAGCACCACAACAGTAAATACAATTCAAAAGCTTTTCATAAAGCATTATGATTTACAATCATAGCTGAGCTAAAGGAGACAAACCAAAACCACTATATCCTTTATTACAAAGTTCACTAGTTAAAGCATTACCAAGTATTTCACCCTCAGATGTGAGGTGCCCGTGGGGATGCAAAAGTTCATATGGAAACATTGAAGTTAGAATATTATTATTCACTGTTGAATGAAAAGCTATTGGCAAACCAAACCAAACTGCTTCAGCAAAACATACTGCACTTGGCATTTTACTATTCCTTACAATTAAAACAGTAGGGGGAAGTACAGTGAACAAGTACTGTCATGATATGTTTTGACGAAAGCCTAATCATAAAAAAGCACTAATGACTCACACATCACTTTAGTAACAAAAGCCTTCACTTATTACCTCATCAGAAACCTGCATTCTATTGCAAAATAATGCCAAATCTCCAGGATCATTACCAAAAGAACAGCACCCACAGAGGCAAAGCTGCACAGAAAAAAAAGATTATTACTGAATCAAGGAAGCAAAGTTTATTTTAGATAGGCTTTTCAAGACAGAACTTTGCTTCCAAGAGCAGAACAGTCCTTTATTTCTCACAGAAATCCATGACTAACTCAGGCCATTGAAAAGTGACAAAAAACCTGCTTCTTACCAACTCTAATTTTGAGTAGACAGCAGTGTGTAATTTCCCTCTTAAATGTGCCTGTCTGGTCAAAGAACAGACTTTTTTTCAGACTCCTCTCAAAAAAGCTATGGACATTAATTCACAATCACCTACCTAAATATGCTTGATATCCAAGGTCATTCCGTACTTGCCTCACTGATACTCAGTGATACTGCTGGGCTGGGTATCTCAATGGGAATCATGATTTTATCCTATATTCTGAGATCCATTTTTTAACCAGCTGTACTCTGCAGAATGTTTTTTCAAACCAGTTTTCATTTTTTCTTCTATTTGCAAATTCTTAAAACTTTCCCAGTGAAGGTGCAAACCCTTAAGAAATTTTAAATACAAGGACTGCTCCACAGAGTACATAAACTTACCTTCCTTCATCACTTGTGTGGGTACTCAAGAACCAATCAAGACTCGAAAGAGTCTGAAAGGCCACAAAGCAAAGAAACTATTTAATCTACAACAAACACGTTGTTGTTAGAAAATATTCCTCAAGAAGCATTCCTCCTGAGCTATTCTTCTAAGACCACACCAAGTTGTCCAATCTTGGGCTGTTTTAAGGGGCAGCATGAAAAGTGCAGAAAGATAAAACCCAACAAAATACAGACATGATTTAGTAAATCAGTTAGAAAAGTCAAAATCTGTCCAGGAATCAAAAAACAGGCTAAATTAAAGTCTTCATCATAGTATATGTTAACTATTGTCACTGTACTGATAAAGGAACAACAGTACAGAGAAGGAAAGGGTATACCATGCAAACATGAAGCATGGGATTAATTTCTCCAAACATAAACCTGTACCTGTGTTAGTCATCTGTCTTTGGAACAGACACTGAATGGTGTATATGTCATGGAAGGGAAAAATCTAAACTGGTTTGGAGAAATCAGGTCTAAGGAGGCCTGTTTTTCACTGCATTTAAAGGGAGTCTAGGTGTACACAACACACATGCAGCCTCACTGGCTCACACTCCTCCCCCTGTATTAAGTGAAACAAAACCCAGTCTGAGTAACATCTAGTAATGAAAAATAAAAGCCAAGATTCCTGAAGCATAGGTACCAGACAGTGTCTTAGCAATGGAAGCTTGATCTTGGGGATAGTTTAATGTGATACAGGGATGTAAGAGCTCAGCACTGCCAAACAGGGCGGGCTCTTCCCTGCCTCTTGCACCAGTTCTGTTGCCAGCCATGATTACTCCACCAACCTGCTATGAGGAGCCACTGGCACCTCCAGCTAATTCAACCTGCAGAAAACTACTCAGGCTGAAATGTAGACATTTACTCATGCTTTAGTAAGCTTAAGGATCTCACAGTCTAATCTCTCTTCAAGATGGTAAAATCATCACGACACCTTAAGAGCTGTATTATACTTTCTATGCAAGAATAGGTTTCATTATGCGATTGGTCAAACCATTCCCTTTGAAAGACTGAAATTTGAACTAATACACAAAAATGAGCTTCTATAAGTTACTAGTCATAAAATAAAGTGTAGAACTATGTTTGTAAACAACTGTGTGTATTCAATGTTTTTCAACAGAATAAAGTTTGGTTAACTTGGGACCTTCTAGCTTAAATGGTCAGTATTCTGACTGCATATACTGTTAACAGAATGGATTAATGACCATTGATATAGTAAAAACTACAACTGGAATAAAACTTGTCAGAGTAATGGCAATTATATAGAAAGCATTTTAAATAACTGAAGTATATTTATGTTCCCAAATATAATTACTTCAAGGTCTCAATTATAACTGAATAAACAACATGCTCAGCAGTTCTGTAACATCTTTTATTAGAAAACACTTAAGTATTGAACACACACCAGCACAACACATTAGATGTAGTGTTCGTTGCACTCCTCGGCACACTAAACTTCAGAGATAGCAGCACTCACACAGGGAACAGTGTATATAAGAAAGTATGGGGTACTGGGAAAAATAGAACCAATAGTCCTCAAAAACAGGGAGAGGGGAGGCAAGTCAGAAAGGGAGAGAACTAAGGTGTTTGCACTGCAGACAAAATAAGCCACTTCAAAATCCAAGGAATTAATTTTAAAAGGCAAGGCATGGCTCTTGATAAAAAGTGCCAGAAAAGGGCACTAAAATTTCACCATCCCTTCTGCCTCCACCCATGAAGTATTATCCCCGTTTTTAAAAACAGATTAAACAGATTTGTGACTTGGCCAAGTCATCTTGGCAAGTGTGCAACAAAGCTGAGAACAGAACATATTTTTCCCCAACACCCAATCTTCATTCAAACCTCTTGATCATCCCGTAAGCCTTCCTTCTCCTACAACCACTTTTAGAGGACGTACACCAGGTGAAACACACCTCTTCAGTAAAAGAGAGGTTATTTAGTTAAATAAGACTGACATACTTCAAGCACAGTTTGTTGCTCAGGAGTAGCCGCTTAAGGAGCAAAGAAAGTACTGGCTGTGAAGCTTACATGGCAAAAAGTAAAATATGTGCATATATCTGGAGCAATATATCATGTCCTCCCAAACACTGCTAAAGGAATTTTCATTTCAGGCCTTACTGTAACACCATGAAAACTGCACATTAAATGCACACACTCTAAAATCTGTAGTTATACACTGAAGAATCTGAAGATGTAAAGCTACACAAACCTAATTTTTTATGTATCTGTGAGAAGGACGGGGTTTTTTCCACAATCAAACATAATAAAAAATTTTTCACTGGCTCAAGGAAACCAGATTACTAATTTTTATTTTTTTAAAAAAATTTTTGACAGTAACTGAAATGTTTTGGAGAGGGTAATACATGGCAAGTCCTATAGTCACTTTTACTCACTTTTTATTTTTTGTCCTATTTAAATAAAGAGAACTGCTGTACACTATTCAACTTGTTTTGATTTCAGCTGCATTCCTACAGACAGGTGGCAGAGTTCATAGTAACTGGATCAATCCCATACAACAAGGCACACTGTTACAGGAGGGTAACACAAAAAGCATGTCAAATCTGAGGTTTTCTGATACTAACACAACCATGACTTGTGACCAGTTACTTCTGGTTTAGCTTCAAATTCCAGACCTTTTAAAATTATTATTCTGTGATTCAGCTTTTCCAGACCATTCAGAACATCAAAATGGAAAAAAATGGTCTTCAGTACATAATGCACTATTTCACTATACATCACTCTGCTTTAAGCTCTGGTGCTTCTTTGAAATATACTAGAGACAAACCAACTTTGTAGGTAGTAATTGACACAAAATTAAAAGTCTTCCAGAATAAAAACTAATGTTGATACCTGTTTTCTCTTCCTCTTCTGCAGACAAATGGATATAGTTAAGTTTATAAAATAATCTGAAATGCTGAAAAAAAGCAAGCTGCAATCAACTCCAGAGAGATTCTTGTACAGCTACAGAGAAGAACATCCTGCTAACCAGCACAAACAAAACTTCCCTCAATAAGTAGAAATCTGTAAAGCTTTCCTAGAGAAATACATATATATATATGTAAAGCAAACCCCCCCCTCAAAAAGAAAGTGACATTTGTGTCACCCAGGCTTCCCCAGCTCATCAACTGAGGATCATTCTTTCCTGAATGGGGCTGTCAAAACTGTCACAAAGAAAATTATTGTCATGTAGCAAAATTATCAATTAAACACTCCCCATCTCTCCCTCCCCACTTACCTATCTGCTGGACCTCCCCTCTACCAGAAGACCATTTGCTGTTTCTACTTAATTTCTGTCATGCACAACTATTCATTGTATAAAGTCATACATTTCTGTAGTGAAAGATGAATGTAGGATTGCAAATTTAAGAACAATTTCATCAGTCATGTGATTTCTTAAAAATTCCACTGCAGAATCCACTTGCACAGCAAAGCTGAAAAGATGCAAAGGAGTTCCATGCACACACTACTGAACAAAAAAGAGCTGCAAACATTAATTTGCACAGTACTTAAATTAACGTGTTTCCATTAACACTTGAAAACCAAGCAATATTTATAACATTCAGATTTTCAGAAAGCTGTATTATACTGAAGAGAAGTGTTAATCCCTAGCTACAGAAAGGCATTTCCTAATTTCCTTATATGTGGAAGACATTATACTTTGTTCAATGACAAAAAACTGTACTAATGGATTTTAGAAACAAAGCACCATCACAAAATGTGGCATTTACATTATCCAAGATGGTCCCTAAGCTAAAGTTCTCATAAATCAGAAGTAGCAACAAACACTACTATATAATTCCCTCATTTTTATTTCATACACAAATACATACAATTTAATTAATACATTATAATCTTAGAAGCTCTCGTCTGAAAAACTAAAAAGACTAATATTTCTGGTGTAGAATTGTATTTTACAGACATTTTAAGAATTCTGGAGAGTATGATCATGGCCTTACCCTGTACTCTAATAGCATGTACACTTTTCTGGTATAGAGAAGGCAGTGTAAAGGCTTTAAGTCAGAAAAACTAAGATAACAGATACCTTAGATGATTAAAAACAATCTGTATAAAACAATGTTTTTTTAACATCCTTCCCCCCAAAATAGAAATCATCAAGATCTTTTCCCCACATCTAACAAGTTTTTCATTAAATGTTAACTTTAATGCACAAGTTTGTTTGTCATGGTTTACAGAAGGAGCCAAAAAGGTTCACTAGGTATTTTTAAACTACCACTCCTTTGATCATCATTGGGAATCACATCACAAAGATCTTAAGAGCATTAATTAGTTCAATTACAAAACTGCCTTACAATCAGTTTTCCTCCCTCTCCTGAGAAAACAACAGCCTGTTTATATGAAAGTGTCACCAGAATCAGAATCAGTGATTTTTCCTTAAGAACTGTAAAGGCAAGATAGGACAACATCACCTGATGCAGAAAGCTTGAGATGCAGTAAGAACCCTTAAACTCTTTGTCACTGCTCAAAAACCAAGCCACTAAACTTAACAGAGACTACCATAAACTAGTTAGTGAGAGGACTGGCTAACAGGGGACCTAGTGGTGCCAGAGCAAGTGTGAGGGGATGGCTGGACCCTGGAGCCAGGATCAGGAATTAGAAAGAAAGATCAAGACCTTTCAAAAGTGGAGAACCTTTGGATCAGCTCAAATGCTGATAAAACTGCTACACAAGATACTGTGAAGACAACTCACCAACCTTATTAATTTCTTCCCATTTGGTAATGGAAAAAAATGGACTTCTCACTGGACAGAAAACTAACCCTGAGACTGCCTCTCTCCTCTTCCAAGGGATTGTTTTTCAGGCCTACCAGTAAACTAATCTGACTTGAGCACACAGTGTGAACACAAGAGCTAACACAGAGGACAGAACAGGATGATTCTTTCAGCTCTAACTCCCAAGTATCTCGTTTTAACTAACCTTGAAATCAAAGGGTTAGTTACAGTTTATCATCACAGCCTGAATCTTATATATGGGTATGCTTAAAACAACGAGATGTAAGTGCTGTTCAGGTTGTAATAAAACTACACTACTGTATAAATCTAACACAAAGATTAAAAAAAAAAATCCCTTTTTAAAACAGGAATGAGAAAGACACTGCAAATGCTTGAAAAATAAACTTTAGCAATATATTTAACATGAGAAGCAAAAGCTTTTTGTCAGTATGTCCTTTAACTCAATGAACTTGGGAGAAAATTGTATTTAAGAGAATAATCAATATAAAGAAGTAGGCAATGTTAAACACGTTACATACAGCACACACAGAGTGTGATGCATTCCGAAAAGCTCACCAAGACAAATTAATTTTCTGTCAAGTCTGACCCCATCAGAGAGGTAATAATCCCATAAATGTTATAAAACACACGGCGAAGTTGCAATAAATTTGTTTGTACGTTACAGTTTTATTTATTGTTGCTCCCCAGTCAGTCTGGGTCAGTGCTCACTCAAGACATTTTGTACCAGAATCCACAGCACAAAATTGCTGCAACTGAAGAGTCATACGTAGTCTCTGAACTTGAGCTGTGATCAAAAATTGCTTTAAAGACCAGAACGTGCCTATGGAGAGTATGCTTATCACCACTTATCTAACCAAAGATGACACAGGATGGGGGGACAAAACCTGCCATTTCACAGAGTTAAACATAACTGGAAAAGGTTTACACAAAGAGGTATCACAGCTAACTAATGAAAATAGACCAAGTCCCGAAAGATTAACTATAAGGTCATTTTGTCTCTCAATTTCAAGTTGAATATAATCAGACTGGTCTCCACATTTTCAATGACACTCCCACATGATATACCAAGGACCACAAAACAGGGGTCACAGTGGCGGTAAACACAGCAGAAAATTTTAGAAATACAGAATCAATAGCAACATCAAAAAAAGGAGGAAAAATAAAAAGAAACAAAAGGCTCAGTACTTGACACTGACAGAGGGAAAAAACCTCTCAAAAATAAACAGCTTGGAACACAAACTAAATAATTCATGGTCTATGCTGAAGAGAGGGCATGTGCTGGTCATATGTTCAGCGTATGTTATTGGCACCACTCACCAGCATGTTCCATGTTGTAACAGCTTAAACATTTCAATTTGAAATGCGCTGCCTTCAGGGACGACATGATCTGGGCAACCCTGACGAAACACACACCACTCAAAATGAATACATGCTAATTTTGGCTTGCAGGTTATTTCTCCATACTCCAAACAATGCTTTGCTTGGCACTAACTCATTTGAAAAGCTTGCATTAAATATAACCAGTGGTAGTGTGAAGCAACTTTTAAAACCAGTAGACTCAGTTTATGTAAGATTATATAAAATTACTGTTGTAGTATGTGTGATCTTAGAGGCAACTTTCTGCTTGGATCCATGCTACAGATTAGACATGCATGCCTTTAAATTTCAGAACAGCAACAGTCTTTGAAGTTGTGCATGACTTCTCTATGCATTCACAGTCTCAGACATAGCAAGACATGACACGATGGAGCCCGTTGCCCAGATGACAATTAAATGCAGTGGTGGAGTTTTAGGACTCCAAAACATAGGGGGGGAAGGAACGTAGCTGGAGTTCAAACATGCAACTTCAAGTGCCTGCTTTCTCTAGCAGTCAGCTCTGCCTCCTCACTCTACAGTCATTTCCATTTCTGTGAAAGTTACACCAAGATAGCTGCTTCTAGTGCTGACACACAGATCATCTGAGAAAGGATCACGACCTCACTACTGTACGCTAATTTCTGAGTATATCAACCCTTTCTGCATTCAAACCAGTGGCTACGATTAGACCTATTTACTTCCTTTTAAATACCCATTCTGTAGTATTTTAATTTTAAATCCCCTAGAGCAATTTCTCTTTCTTTTGTATTTTTGTATTATATTATTACCTGCACAAGTCAAATCCTATCTGCATTTAGAACATCTCTAAGAGGGTTATTCTAATGACTTAACGATGGTGTGAAGCGTGACACTACAAGTATTTAAGGACCTTTCGGATTTAAAAATAAAAGTCTTCTTCACTCTCTGAAGAACTTTATCAGCCAAACTTCTTCCCCTCTCTGTATCAGACACTGTCAGTATGTTCTCAGTCAGCAATTTATTTCCCACAAAACGTCCCTATAAAAACACAGGGTAGTCCTATATATATATTCTCTTATTTAAATCTCTTGGCAAAAGTTTCAACAAGCAGCTACCACAAAGACAAAATAGTCCTAAGTAGGACAAAATTGCATTAGTGTAACATATCCAGTAACCAACACTTCTTTAATCAGAGCCCAGGGATCTTCAAGTTGAAACCAATGTCACTGCAACAGGCACCCACCCCCCTCCAGTACTCACCTATATTTATCTGAAAGTAATTAACCCAAAACTACTCAGACCTTCAAGATAAGAAATATAACTAGAAGAACAAGAAAACCATCTAACCTTCTTAATATCAAATGCTGTTGCAAAAAGAAAAAGGTACAGACAGTAGTTTACCTAGATAAAGCATGTAAACACCTTTCAGTACAAAAACTGAAAGCATATCCTGCCTTCTCAAGTCTTTCCAAACAAAAAGAGACTTGGGCAACACGTTTCTACATTGCCATCTCCCATGATCATTTCCACAACTGCACAGTTTTTTCTTCATTTCAAAAACTATAGAAGAGCCTAATTTTTACAACCAACATTTCTGATTAAGCTACCAAATGTGATTCCTCAGAAACACCTGCCTCAGGCTCTTCTCCCTGTCCACTATCCTGTTATTTCTCCAAGTAGTCAAAATCACACTCTCTCACATTATGGTTATTTTGTATTCTATATAACCATGCTTTTAAGCTTTTCAGAATAAGTTCAATTACTTTATGGCAC